TGTATTCTTTCTCATTGACTTTGGTACTGCATTCCTGACATTGATATTGAATTGTCTTGGAGATTTGCCGCTCACGCCATATCCATATTCTATCATGTTGTTTTACATTGGTATTACATCGTTTACTGTCGCATGGCACTCAGGGCATCATGCACCCCAGCAGGTCGCCCGCCAACAGTCTTATCGGAGGATACCGTATATGTTGTTTCATGGGAAGGTGCCTGAGTACAACCTACGCGCAGCATTATCCGAATGACTGTCCTTTCGATGACGACATCGCATTTCTGCACATTGTTTGTTGGCGACCATCGTATACCTTTTGAGGCCTGGAGCGCCTCGGATTATGCATTCTACGCCATCTAGTTGTTCTGTTGTCGTCGCAGCTTGGATCGTCATATCCGGTGAATTTGGGCTTGGACAGCTCGCGGAATAACTATGGGCCCGGGGTGCCCCGTGAATGAAAGATGTCTTATTTCCTTGGTCGGCTTGTCGTCGCAATTCTGATCCATCGTATTTCGATTAATTTTACTTTGCGCACGCGTCACTGTGGGGTTGTGGAGACACCTGCATCGGGGCATGCAGCAGTGATCTCCATTTGCCATTATTTCTCTTGCTCTCCCAGCCTCGTCGCCCGCGGTGACGGGGAGTCGCCCAGGAGTGCCCAAGCGTTTTGGGGGCCGAACCCTGGGCTCGCTAACGGCGGGTAGACTCCCCTAAGTGCCCTGCGAGGCGGGGCGGGCCCCCTTTTTTCCTTCCTGGCCGATGCGACTTCGTTTGGAGGTGCGGTTGAAGCGACGGCGTTGTGAGTGGACTTCGCACCTCTGTTCCCGAGCCCCGCCTCTGTCTCTCGCGGGCCCGGGGCCAGCGCGGGGCAGGCAGGATTTGGCACGGTGTGTGCATGTGTGTGTGACGTCCGCTCACATCCCCACTATATGATTACATGCCGCTGACGTATCGGTTCTGGCATTGGTGCAGACGCCGCGCTGCCTTCCGCGCGGCGCCCTGGAACAAGGATTTGCGACCCTCTTCCTCATTCGCCTCTACCTGCGGGTCATCGCGTAGGTTCGACTCCTCCGTTAACCTATACACACAACGTGTGTTGTTTTTTGTAAGCCCTCCTGGAAAGTCAGGGTCTAATCCTCCCCCTTTCTCGCTCGCCGCCGTGGCGGGCGCCCCCGCGGGGGCGCCGCGCGGCGCCCCCCCGGGGGCGTCGCAGGGCGGCCGGATGCACGCCGCGCGGCTGGCCCGGGCGGGAGCGACGGCGTGGCCGCCGCGAGGGGGTGCAGCTGGCGGCCTTGCCGCCCACGCGCGAGGCTTTCCAGACCCAGCCTTGGAGAACTTCACGCGTGCCCGGCCCTCGGGGGCTGAGAAGTCGGGCCTGTTCTTCCGCAGGGGGAATAGTCGAAACTAGTTTGAAACATGGAACGGGGCTATTTTTTTTTTTTTTTTTTTTGTTTTTTCATGTTTGTTGCTTATGTTAGCTGTTTTTGATGAAAAATGAAAAAAATCGCCGGGCATCCCCCTGCAACGGGGCACGCCCGAGCTCCTTCGAGGGTCGAAGGAGCTGCCCCCTCTTTCTCGACGGAAGAGCGGCGGAAGAGCGGGGGGAGGCCGGCGGAAGGAAAACGACACCGCCCCCGCCAGCGGTGGCCGGCAAAAGGGCGGCGGAAGTAAGAGACGCGGCCCCCAGAGGTGGAAACGTTTTTGGGTCAGGGTTTCGGAAATCCGCTCTGTGTATGCCGTGCATTTCTCCAAAGATGAGCGACACAAAAAGCGGAGTCGTTTGCGCCGACATACGCGCGCAAGCTGCCCGCGCAAGGTCGCGCGTAAGCGCCGTCGTTTCCAGTGTGGCGTGCCGCGCCAGCGGCCTGCGCAAGTTGCGGCGCAAGGTCGCTACAGCAGGCCTTGATTAGTAGGTCGACCCTGCGAAGTCAACGGTGCCCTTGTGTGCTGCCTTGGGAGACCCGAGCTTTTCAATTTTTTATGGCCACGTAGCCTCGGAAGGGTTTTGTGCGTTGCAATGAAGACCGACTGTATTCCATCTAGCGTAGGACCTTTTTTTCGGTTCGTCGCTCATGTGTCTCCAGTGCGAGCTCTCCGAATGATTTCTTCTCGTGAGGCCAGCCAAGTGGGGGACACTTCGAAAACGCGGGGTCGACCGCGCGGACGTTCGCGCGTGAGGCGCCCCCGCGGGAAGACAGGGCGCTCGCGCACGGCCACGCGCGACCTCGCATCGCGGCTCGGGTGGCGCGTGGGCGGTCCTTTCTGCACGTGTTCTGTGCCACGCTGGCGGCCCGAAGGAGCCGCCGCGGGAGGCCGCCGTGCCTGCGTGCGCGCGACCCGTGACAGTGGGAGCCCATGGCAAGAAACACCCTGCTTGCATCCAGGGGGCCCTGGGTTTCTTGGCGTTCGATGGCTTTGCGATGGACAGCGTGGCCTTCCCACGCCAACAGTCAATGCACGTCCTGGGGTCTCACGGTTGGGTTTCTCGTAGAAGTTTTTTGTGGTCGAGGTCCCACTGTATTTTTCGTCGTTCGTGCGTGCTTCTGGATGCCAGCTCTTGTCCCTGCGGGGGGACATCCTTGGCTGCGGCCGCTGCGGCGCCGCACCGGGCCCGCTTCACGATCCGATCTCTCAGTCCAGCTCGATATTTATTCCAGTCGTGTGTTGCTAGAAGTGTTCCTGGCCCAAGGTGCCCCCAGGATTTCTAAGGAGGCCCACACGGCCTCCAGAGTACCCCTCGCGAGGTCCAGAGGGCCCCAGGGGCTCCACAACTGAGCGACAAGCTTGGGGTAGGTACCTTTGGCCAGGTGCACCTTTAGCAACCCCCGATCCAGACGGCTCGAGACGATTTGATCAGGAGGGAAAAAACACACAGACACAATTAATCGTCGATTCCCCAGAAAATATAGGAAAATATGGCAAGTGGGGGGGAAGACAAAAACCCAGAATACATGCGAAACTATTGGGAATCTCTTTATTTGTATGTATTTATGTGTGTGTGTGTGTGTGTGTCTTTGGGCCCCTTGATTTGATTCCGATACTCCGACGTTGCGGCGCGGCCCGATGTTCGCACCGCGTCGCTGTGCAGCCTGGCGCGGCCGAACCGAGTCGATCTCGACCTCGTGCCGCGGCGGCACGATGCGACGCCAGCTCCGACCCGGTCCGGCTCCTCGCAGTGAGTCCAGCGGCGTGTACTGGGCGAGATGCGGTCCTTGGATTCTCGGCCGTGCTCGGGCTCCAGGGGCCCTCCATTGGTCTTGGGGCCTGCCGACCAACTGCTGCGAGGAGGAGGAGGAGGAGGAGGAGGAGGAGGGAGGAGGAGGAGGGGAGGAGAGGGAGGAGGGAGAGGAGGGAGGGAGGGAGGGAGGAGGGAGGGAGGGAGGGAGGGAGGAGGAGGGAGGGAGGGAGGGAGGGAGGGAGGGAGGGAGGAGGGAGGGAGGAGGGAGGAGGAGAGGAGGAGGAGGAGGAGGAGGAGGAGGAAGGAGGAGGAGGAGGAGGAGGGGACAGCGAGGGGACTGCGAGGGCACGCGGGGCTCCCATAGGATTTGCCTCCGAGCGCGGCCTGCCCTCGGAGCGTCATCCTGTAAGCGCCCACGGGAGCACGCCAGCACTCTGTGTGCACGCACGCCCTCCGCGGCGCCGCGCACACGCGCGCACGAGCGATGAGGCGCTGGCCTTGGGCGAACGCCCCAGGGCCCAGAGCCCACTTCTCTCGGGGCCCCCTCGCCTCGTGCCACACGAGAGCGCTGAGCAAACACAAGCGGTGCCGATGGTGCCGACCTTGGAGCGCCAAAGCTGGCCGCGTGAAGGTCGCGCGCTAGGCGCCCCTTGCCGACGGCGTGGCGCGCCACGACGGCGGCCCGCACGCGCAGGCAGAACAGTGAGGATGCGCGCAGCTTTGCAAGGTTGCCCTTGCATCCTTGCCTCCTCCTCCTCCTCCCCTCTCCTCCCCCTCCTCCTCCCCTCCCCCTCCTCCCCTCCTCCTCCTCCTCCTCCTCCTCCTCCTCCTCCTCCTCCTCCTCCTCCTCTCCTCCTCCTCCTCCTCCTCCTCCTCCTCTCCTCCTCCTCCTCCTCCTCCTCCTCCTCCTCCTTCCCCTCCAACTCCTCCTCCTCTCCTCCTCCTCCTCCTCCCTCCTCCTCCTCCTCCTCCTCCTCGTCCTCCTCCTCCTCCTCCTCCTCCTCCTCCTCCTCCTCCTCCTCCTCATCCTCCTCCTCCCCCTCCTTGAATCCTTGCCCCGCTCAGCCCACCCTCGCCGGCTTCCGCCGGCCAGCCCCGCTCGGACGAACGCCAGCCCCGCCCTCCAAGGCCCTCGCGTCCTGGCCGCGCCTCTTCCCAAGTGCGGCTCGACCGCAGGCCGCTGCGCCAGAGGTCGGGGCGCCACCTCGCGCGGGACGGCGCGAGGGCCCAAGAGGGGAGAGGCGGGCCCCGCGGGGCGTGTCGACGTCAAGGCGCCCGGGGCCTGGAGCATCGAGGATCGAGGAGGTGGGAGGGCCGAGGCTCGAAGACGCCCCTGGACGGCTCTGGGCTTTGGTCGAAGAAGGATGCCGCCATGAACATACACTCTTGGCGCTCCGCGCGGACTTCTTTTATCCGCGCTGGGCCCCTCCCCAGCGGCGGCCCTGGCGCCGCCCCTGGCGCGCTCCGCGCGCCGGGGAGGGGGGTCCGTCGCAGATCCAAACAACCCGCGCGGAGCGCCAAAAGTTTGTGTTTACGTTCTTGTTTCTTGCTCTATATTCGGGGAGTGTCTCCTCCCGAGCATGTTCTTTGGGTGGAGGGCACAGGGTGAAATCTGAAATGCCGTCTCTATAGGGCTCTCGAGGCCCGAATCTGCAAACGGCGAATCACGAGGTGGTTTTGGTTTTCGAGGCGCAGAAGCCCATATGGATTTCACCCTGAGCCCTCTACCCTAAGAACATGCTCAGTCCTCGTCGCTCGACTCGACGCCGACCGCCGCGCTGCCGCGCTGCCCGGCTGGTGGGGCGCCTCGCGCCGCCAG